TGTTATTATCTAATGATAATAAATAATTATTCATAGTAATAAAATTGTTAGTTTAATTTTGCTAATGATCAAATTTTTGAAAATGCAATATGTTCATTATCTAGAATTTTAGTATTACATTCTCAAATATTACTTAATAATGTTTTATGTACATCTATGCATGTGCACAAGATATCTACTAGTTTGGAATAGAATTGAATATGTTCGAAAAGTCTAAACGAATCGAATACAAATTGAATATGAATTCAAATTCTCGAATATTTTAACGAATTCAAATTGGATATCCTAATATCCATTTTTATTCCATTCGTGTACGGTATTAGGATATACACTCAACCAATCCAAATACCAAACCAAATACTACAATTTACCCATATGATATCAATTGTGGATAACTTTTACAGCCAAACAGAAGCTTCTGCCATTGGCTTCCTTTTTTGGCCGCTTTATAATATACCATTGCGACCCCTTTTCACAAGAAGGGGACGGCACATTTTCACACATTGTAACGTGCTTTTCCTCTCCCACGCGACGCACCCACGCGTCGAATCCACTCTCGCAACCCTTCATCCGACCCCCATTTTTGGACCCCTATTTTTGTATATCATTGGGCGTTTCCAAATTCTGGGCTTTGGCTCCTCCTGTGACGAGAAAAAAAAAAGTAGAAAAAGCCTTTTCAGCTGATCGAGTTTCTACACAGAGAAGATGAATAGTAATACATCCTTTGATATGCATACGATTGTATGTATGTATTGTTGGTGAAGAGCCAACCCCCTAATTTATTGGCTTTTTTTGCTGTTTTTTGGCGAGTTATTTCTGCTCGTTTTTCGGTAAGCTGATTGATTTTCATGTCCATTCGTTAAATTTGGTTGTGGGATGTGTTGGGTGTGTCTGTTTGTCTGTCTCATCATTATTATTTGTTGAATTTTCCTTGTTTTCGCTGAAATTTTACGACTGTTCTGCTACCAGGAGATGTATTGATGAAGGGTTTTTGTTGTTGTGATGCCTTTTATTTGATATCTTGAATTATGTTGTTTTTTTTTTTTTTAATTTTCTTGTTCGTTACATGTAAATCGGCTCGTGAATCCCTAGTTTTATGCTAATGATCGTGTGGATTTCTTTTCCATTATTGTTTGTTGTCGTTACAAGTTTTCCCCTTTTCCGTGTTGTCTCAGTTATGGCACCAAGATGACAAATGGGTCTTTTTGGTAGGTGCTTAAATTCTATCGTATTCTTTAGAAAATGTGTAATATAAACTTGATCCTTTCTCCATTGATCTACCTTCTTCAACCCTAACCACCCCTTCCGTCCTTTTAAAGTTAAGGGATTAATATCATAATAACAGAGCTTTAATCCGTGTTTATATATATGTATATAATTATCTTTAATTCATAATGTTGCATTGTTGGATATTTCTTGTGTTGCTGATTCGTCGGACATCTGGTTTTTTTAATTTGGCAAGGTTAAGATGGTTTTGGTCATGTGTTGTAGTGAGGCCTAAGGCACTAGGCACAACTGTAGTAGGGAGTTCCTTCCCTCAAATGGGCTGCTTTCATTCCACGTCAAGAAAGCAGTTTTCCAGACATGAAGATCCTGTTCTTCTTGCATCTCAAACAGCTTGTAAGTTGATTCCTTATTCCAGTCCTTATTTCGGTTCATGTAGATCAGTCGAATCTGTAGATCTAAATGTGTTCCTTCCAAGCTTTTGTGTTGTCTAACTATATTTTGTTCGTTGAAGAGCTGTCATTCGTAATATGGTGTGAGTTCATAAAAAATCTGTTAGTACAATAATGTTAGGCCATATACTAATATCTACTAGACAGTGAAGTAAAATATGACTTATTAGGCAGTTGCAAGGAAGCTATGTCCTATAGCTGTATTACGCTGGTACCTATCTAATATATTTTGTCGTAGATATCTGGTTTACGTTTTAAATATTTCGTTTCATTTTCATTCATCGATTGCTTGCTCTTATACAGACCAGTCAATTGGCATGACTAATACCTGAGTTGTTTGATTTTTTTATTTTATTTTTTTTAATGTTGTCAATTATACGGACCAGATGATTGATATTGCTATATTTTTTAATCGCTCTCATCTTTGAACTACTGATGCATTTTGGACTCTGTAGTTATTGGTTGGTTTTTCTTTCATTGCCACTGCATAACATTAAAGTATTTTCAAGCATTTCATTATTTATTTTTAGCATAATATTTAGATTGTAGCCATAGTTGGGTGGTGCATTCTCAATTATATTCTGGGTTTGCATTGCTGGAGTTTATATATTTATTAAATGCTTTATTTTCTTTAATCAAACTTCAACCATTTCTCTCTCTTTTGCTTTTGCAGTTAGCGTGAGTGAGGTTGAAGCATTGTTTGAACTGTTTAAGAGCATCAGCAGTTCTGTCATTGATGATGGCCTTATTAATAAGGTAATGAAGAGACCTAAGTTATGCGCATCTCTTTTTTCGGATTGCATTTTAATGTTTTGTTTTTGAGTACCTTGTGTATATCTCATTTTCCTGATTACATTAATGTTTTGTTGTTGACCACCGATACTCCTTAGTTCAACATCTCACTGATAAAACCACGGAGTTAGATAGTTCGAACTTATGGAAAGAAAATTTTCTCATTATTATATTCACCATTATTTTCTCTTTCATTTTGTGTTGTACTTCTATTTTCCATTAATAAAGTCGATATTCACGAAGTCTTGGTTTACATTAACATAGTCCCAGTCACGGGTCAAAAACCGGGGGCTCAAGGGTGGTGGAAACTGAGAACCTGAATTGCAGATTCAAAACTCTATTTGAGGTGTCAACTGCCCAACCTACGACAAATGTTTACAATGGGGTGAAATTTGGAGGACAATCAAACCAAAACAAAAAATTAAGATAGAAAAGGCTCGGGCTTAATTTGTTGCTTGTTTACCTTTTCAGGATGTGAATGAATCAAAGCTGACTTCGTTAATTTTCACTATTTTTATCTCAAGGATTGTTACAAAGTCACTGATGCATGTCATTATTATTGTTGGATCTATTGGGTGCCTGTAGATAGCTCATCTCTCTTACTATCCACAGCATAAACATATCCCATATCATCAGCAGCATAAACGTCTTGGTTGCTATTGCTTTTTAAATACATGCTGTAGCCATCATCTTTCCGAATATATATCTCGTATTCTGTGCCAGATTCTTTTTTTCCGAATTTTGAGTAGATGTCATATAACTTTTCCGCTGTGTACAATGTTTGAATATGCAGGAGGAACTTCAATTGGCGTTGTTTAAGAACCGGAAAAAAGAGAATCTTTTCGCAAACCGGGTGGGTAACCAAGTCGTCAAATTTTTTATGCTATTTGAAAACGAAAATCTAAAAGCTTACCGCTATAGGTTCTGAGGGCAGCCATCTAATAGAAAGTCTGAGGGAAATGAAGCGCTTGGGTTGCTTATGTATTCTGGATTGGGTAAACTTGAAGTAGGGGAGATTTTTCCGATGATATTTCTGTTACCTTTTTTTTTTAATCATTTCCAAGGAGTAGTGACATTTTGGTAAGAAATACTTGTAGTACTTCAGTTGGTAGGAACAAGGAAAATTGCAGCAGAAGAGAGAAATAACATAGGCCAGGCAGCAAGAAAAAGCGATTAGTTATTGGATAACCTTAAGTAACCTTGAAAGGTAGTTAGTCGGCGTCCAGCCATATAGACTGTAAACTTCACAGCTTTCAGGTCTCATTTATTTTTATTTTTGTGGACTTGTTGATACCACTCCGAAAGCTGGTAGGAACACTACCATGAGATCCCTCCAACTTTCTCTTGAGTAATACTTAGACTAGCAAAGAAATGAATAATGAAGTTACAAGGTTTATAGTAAATCAGTACCTAGTTGATATGCTTGGGGTTTTAGCAATTACAATGCCTCATAAATCAGTAACTTAATCATCCAGATAGACCTGATTTACTCATTTCTTCTACCTTCTTTCTCTTGGTCCATCATAAATTATTGCAATTTTCAATTCAATTAATTACCTCTCTCTCTCTCTCTCTCTCTCTCTCTCTCTCACACACACACACACACACACACACAAACACACACACATTTAGTTCATGCTTTCTCAATCTAACACGGCCAGTTGTATGGCAGATCTTTGATCTTTTTGACGTAAAGCAAAAGGGGGTAATTGATTTTGGTGATTTTGTTCGATCCCTCAGTGTTTTCCATCCAAATGCACCACAAGAGGACAAAATTAATTGTAAGTTAACATGATTATGTATTATGGTTTTTATGTATTTCTTTTCCTCGATTTATTTCAGAACTTACTGGTCCCCTAACTCTTGATTATTGTGACCTTGAAGTTTCTTTTAAGCTATATGATTTGGATGGAACCGGATATATTGAGCGGCATGAGGTAACTGATCAACAATGTCGTGTACATTCTTTACTTATATGTGAAATCAATTTTATTGATGCCTCTGTATTTGTCATATATTGGTATTTATCTTGTTCATACTTGTTTAATCCAGGAGAAATTGAAGAATTTCTTTCGAGTCATTTTTATTGTTAATTCAATTTCACATGTTAAAGAGAGTACATGCAGAAGAAAGTGCATAAATTTATTTTTCTTTCCTTGAAATGAGTGGCAGGTCTTATTAATGATTTCTGATTTTCACAGGTTAAGCAAATGTTGATTGCACTTCTATGCGAGTCTGAGATGAAGCTGGCTGATGAAACAATTGAGATAATATTGGATAAGGTACATTATTTTTTATACACTAACTTTGTCGTGTGATCAGCTTTTTAATATTGTGTGGTAGGGACATATATTATATGGAGTTTGTTTATTTTGCGAAGTTCGACCAGATAAATTATATGATTTATTTGCTTTATGTATGCGCTTAAATATAGTTTTTTTTTTTTTTTTTTTTTTTTTTTTNNNTTTTTAGCCTTTCATGTATTTTTTGATCTCTGGGATCCGTTCAGATGTCATGATCGTTAACAACAAATTTCGGCAGACTTTTGTAGATGCCGACATTGATCAGGATGGAAAGATTGGCAAGTCTGAGTGGCACGATTTTGTGACCCGAAATCCTTCACTGTTGAAGATAATGACACTCCCATATCTAAGGTAATAATAATCATGATGATGTCAGCTTTGCACGTATTATGGTCGTAAGCAGACGAGCAACTGATGTTAATTTTATCGTCACTGCAGGGATATAACCACGACATTTCCTAGCTTCGTGTTCAACTCGGAGGTTGATGAATTTGCAACGTAAAAACCGGTGATTTTTCCAAAAAAAAAAAAAAAAAAGATGTTTGTGAACTTGTAGTTCATAGGAAATATTTGAGTTAAGTGACACCAAACATTCTCACTTTTAAAGAGGTATTTTGCTCTAGGATGAATGTTTTGGCCTTTTAGGGAAAACATCACTCTTATTGATTTTTTATGAGGCTGTGGCTGTGTGAAATTAGTACTGTCCCTTCTCCATTTGAGGCTTTCTGTATGTGCTAAGATTAATTGTTGTGAGCTACTAAGAAGAATATTTGTTTTGAGTGTGCTAAAGGATGAGTTTACATTTTTTTTTTTTT